GATACACGGTAGTGTGAAATCGTGACGATGTTCATTCTCGGTACATTTCTATGATTAGTCTGTAAATAATACTGGAACTAATATACTGCCATCTTATAAACATGCCGTCACGGCGGACGTCATGATTGAAGAGCAGTTATGTACATAATAGTATATTATAGTTGTCAGCAATGTCAATACCCCAATCGAGATGTATTATCCGACAACAATTTTTATTATAGTTATACATGCATGATATGTTGTACTTCAAATATTATTATTTTAATATAATAGACAATACAATATTGAAGATAATTTTGCGAGGACTGGACGTTGTTTAAAGTACGAATTYGTCATTATTCATTATTAAATCGAGARGTGACGAAAAAAATATTTATCCATAAATAATTAATAATCTACCATATTCGTATGTTCACATGATTATTATTACAGTTCATAATATATGAATTCGCCCTACGCCGCTGCTGATATATTATGAAATTGTGAATATTTAGAAAAACCCTCATTATACACTTCATGATTTTTTTTTAGTTATCAAGTTAATATTTATTTGGGTGTAGTTAGAGATATTTATTTTCAAGGAAGAACTGTAATACATTTGATATTGATAACGGCTGTCATCCTTGTTCCAATTCTTTTCAAATATACCAATTGATTAAGTGGTATACGGAACGCGATATCAATATTATTGTAATAGGTAATTTATATTTGGCTATAAGTACCTATCTAGAGTCTCTTATTATGAAACAGACTTAAAAATCAAATTAAAAAAAACGTAGATAATATTATTATGATGATATTAATGTTATATTTTCTAAATATTTATTTCGAGTTTGGGTTGCCAATAKCAATAATAACGGATAAAATAGTTAGTTGCCAAGAAACAAAATATTAAAAAACCGTAGATACAAACAAACAAAAATAAAGTGTATACATTTTAAATAACCAAAATCTTGCGGWGAATATAACGACGAGKKGCCGAAAAATTTTCCTCAAATATCGAACAGCGTTATTAGCGAAAATCCAGTGATCCACAATACTTGCGTAATCTTTATCAATTTATACGAGCAACATCAACATATAAMATTATTGACGGCAGCATGTCGATTACTGGAAATAATATATTTTTGCTGGAGGCGATCGTGTACCGTGTGACGCTGACGGATCAGATCCAAGTACAAAACACGTGTCCGGTGTGTGTGTGCTTCCAGTTCCCGGGGTTGATCGACTTGATGGTATGCGAAGGTGGTTTTTGCGCCGACGGTGTGGTTGGAGGTGGCAAAGTCCTGATGGCCAACGGCAAGTCGTGTTTGTTCACGGTCGACAAAGCGGACCTTTGCCGAACTGCCCGCGAATTTCGCGCGATCATCAGCGTGAATAGACGTGTGGTCGGAGAACAGCAAATGCGATATGTCGCACAGACGGAGCTCGTGTTCGACCGGATGTTTGTCGACATTTTACTGAACCCCTATCAGGATGAGAAGGTCCGAACACTGAAACGGGTAATGTTTAATATTATAGTAATTGGTTCAGACATTTTTATGTGCCCCCCTMCSCTAGCTGCGGAAAAAGTTTGCACGAGTATATGTATAGGATAAAAATGTTACGTCTTAAACATTTAACTATGTATCTATATGAGATWAAAAAAAAAAAAACAATTTAAAGTCATTGTGAGTTAATTGTGGTGTGTTTCACATGTAGGATTTGCCGTTGTACGAAAAGGGTCGTCCAAAACCCGTGGGCACTGTGGAAGTCTTGGTCCGTTTGTCATCGCAGGGGAATTTAGTGGTGACTCATTTCAACCGTTCGCCAAATAGCGATAAATATAATTACAAACCAGTAAACGAAAACGTTCCTACACACGTGTCGGCGATAAATTGTTCCGAAAGTTTAACACTCAAACCAAAGAAAATATGCAAACACAAAGCTACGTGTAAGAACAAACGACCGAAGACCAAGCAAGGTAATCATATCCATCGTTCTATATATATATATAGGTAAACTCGTAAAAAACCAATAATTTTATTTTAAATTTGTCGTATGAACAACAATATGGTATCTTTTTAAAAATGCACTTTATATTTTTAATTTTAATAAATAACATAACTSTWATGTGTGCAGAGCCCAGTAGCTATTGCGCCTCGAAAATCAAACAGGCCAACTGCATTATGACGATGATGGAAAAGTTAGCAACCTTATACAAACAAACGAAAATTAAAACACCGGTGTCCACTGACAAGTTGAATCAGGACAAAAATCAAAGTCATAAAGGTAAACAGTGCTTGTTCAACCTGAATTGTCCGGTTGACCGTTGTCCGTTCAGGACAGGAAAATTGACAAATGATTATGTCAGCAATTTGATCGAAAGCAATTGTCCCGGGAAGGCTGTTTCGTGTAATAAACGGTCAAGGAAACATGAAATCGTTGACAATGCGGATTTGTTTGTCGTAAACGTAGGTCGGGTGGACCCGTGCCGCGTGGTCGCGCCGTTGGTTTACAAGGACGGCTGCACTCAGTGTTTCGAAACGGACTTTTC